GGTAACGCACTTGGTGGGGGCGGGGTGGGTAGCTTCTTGCATTAGTGTTTCCAAATTCTTCAGATAAAGGGATTTAGATTCTTTTGCTTCCAGTCTCAGGGGCCTGTCTAAGCCTCTGCGACCCTCTCCCACCATCCCAGGATTTCTAAGCCCACTGTGCTTCCCCTTTGCAGTGTCTATCACACTGAACCCCTCCTTTCCTTGTCTTTCAGAGCAGACTTCGTCTCTTGCTCACCCTAGTATTTCCATCCCAGTGTCTGGTGTGGAGTCAGCATTAATTACTATGTGTTGAATAAGGGAATCCTTGATGCTAAAGAATAGCCTCATTTTAAAACTATTAGGACGACAAGAGTTTATAGTTATAGTTCTTGTCACAGACTTTAATTTTACCCTTGACTTTTGACAAATCAAGATGTCTCCCAGAAATAAGGTTATAGAAGGTGCAGATTATAACTGTAAGGCTACAGAAATTTAATAGTGAAGATCATTTTGTGTGTGTAATTGACCCTACAGAGATGCCCCTCTAATGGAAAACTCCTTAAGTTCCTAACAACAGGTGATGTACAGAGTAGAATCATTAAGCAAGAACCACTGAAAGCAGATTACAATGAACAGCAACCCAGAACAATCAAATAGATGATAAATGTGAAATGGGTTATAAAAAATATTGAAATTTAAAATTTTGGGATTACTGTGTAAAGTTACATACAAGAAATAGTGAACATCTTTTGACTGGTTTTCTTTTTTTTAAGATTTATTTAAGCATACAGTACTGGGGTACAGTCCAGAGATACAGGGTGTTGGGGGAGGGGATTCACCAGAGACAGAGTGGGGAGCAGGACAGGCAGATGTACTGAAATACACTGCTGAGGGGCACAGCAGGTGAGACAGGAGAGGTCTGCTGTGCTATGTGGGTCAGCTCTCTGGCCAGGGGTTGAAGGCTTGCTGAATTAGCTGTGACTAGCTTTGCAGTGCTTGCACCACTAGGGAAGGCCCTTGACTGCTTTTCTTTCAAATTTTTTTTTTGATTTGTTTATTCATACAGAACTGGGGTACAGGCCAGAGGCTCAGGGGGGGTGAGAGGATTCACCAGGGACAGAGTGGGGAGCAGAACAGGCAGATCAATGAAGTACACTGCTGAGGGGAGCAGCGGGCGGGTCACGAGAGGTCTGCCGCGCCATGTGGATCTCCTCCAGGGCCAGCAGGAATCGAACTCATGTGGAAGTGGCTTAAGCTTCTTAGTGTAGTGTTTTAACCCGCTGCGCCACCAGGGAGGGCTCCTTGACTGCTTTTCTAAAAAAATAATACCAAACTCCAAAGTAGACTCAAGAGAAATAAAAAAGCTAAATAGACTGATTAGGAAAGAAATACTTGCTGGCATTGTCTGCTTATTGTATGATAGTAATTCTGACAATATAAAAAACATATGGAATTCTATTCAGCTAATTCTGTTTAAATATGAGTATCCAGATAGTGGAATAAAAGCAAAACCATATATTTTTAGAATCTGCAGGTTGTCTTCCCTTTTTACCATCCCATTCGCCAATTCTTTCCACCTAATTTTGAATTTTAGCTGTTTCTCAGCTGCCCAGAGTTTTTCCAGGCACTCTGGTCCTTTAAGTGACCTTCCTGGAAATGGTTCCTCATTTTCCCGAGGCCCCTTAACTCAGGGCTTTTATCTGCTACTTCCCTGACTGTGGCAGGGGCTCCCAACTTTGTCATCTATGAGATCTCTCACCCTCCCCGCCATTTTGCCAGCTTTTTCCTCCCACCCAAGCTAAAAACCACATGACCCCCCCTATCAATTTTAAAGCAAGGTTATTCCATGGCTCGGCCCTGCATGTATTGCAAAATGTACTTTTATAGTCAATAAACTGAGATGGAGAAAACATCACTTTATTCACCCTCCCTTCAGTTGCTGTTACTCATATAAGTGGCTTTGAACATGAGTCACTGAGGTTTCCATCAAATTTCAGTAACTCAGTTTGATTTGTGAGAGCAAGGGGCATACTTAAAGCAAGTTAGGAATTGCTTCACAAGGAAAGCAGGGAAAGGAAAACGTCTAAAACTTTCTTTCATCGTGATCCAGAGGAAGGTAACGTGCTGGTTTCTGTTCTTGTTCTCGGATAAGTGATACTGCAGAAGTCCCTGAGTCTTAGTGGCTGACAACAGGGCTTATTTCTCACTCAGATTACGTGCCCTTCCTGGGTTAGCTCTGGGTTGTATTCATTCCAGGACCTGAGATGAAGGAGCAGCCTGTATCGGGGGGCCGGAGGTGTTTTCATGGTCGAAGCAAACAGAGAAATGGCCTGATGAACACAAAGTCTCACAATGGCTGTGAGACTTGTCCTTGGGTCTCCATATGTCACTGTCACTCTCATTTAATTGGCCAAAGTCTGATGTCAGTGAGCAGGGAGATATAATTCTCTCACCTGGAAGGGAAACAAATGACTGGAAATAGTATTGCCTGTTACAGCCCACACTTTTGCTCATAGACATTTTATTTCCCTCCCTTTGGCCACAAAATATACTCATTCCCAGCCTAATGGAAACACCACGAAGTCCAATTACAACCTAAGACTCAATTTCTAGATTTCACGATTCTGTCTGAGTCTGGTTCCTCTTGATCTGCAGTCATAAGAACCAAAAGGATCAATCACCCCT